TCCCCCCTTTTTTCCCGTTTTAAACATTTCGGTCATGATCCGTCATTCCAGCTGCTTTACCCTTATTATATATTATATATAATATATATATATATATATATATATTATATTATAAAATTTTCGATCTAAAGATTGTACAGAAGCAAAGTGAAAAAATCATTATCTCTTAGAGCATTATTTCTATGGTGGTGTTGCTGTCACAGCCTCACCATCAGTGTAGCTCATGACCGGGCTGTGGGGGCGATGCCCCCCTGGAATCAGCAACGGATAGCGTATCACGTGAGAGTGGAAGTTTAGTCACGTGAAGGTGGAAGCGTAGTCATGTGAGGGTAGAAGTGTAATCACGTGAGAGTGGAAGTGTAATCACGTGAGAGTGGAAGTGTAGTCACGTGAGTGGAAGTGTAATCACGTGAGTGGAAGTGTAATCACGTAAGAGTGGAAGTGTAGTCACGTGAGAGTGAAAGTGTAGTCACGTGAGGGTGGAAGTGTACTTACGTGAGCATGGAAGTGTACTCACGTGAGCATGGAAGTGTACTCACGTGAGCATGGAAGTGTAGTCACATGAGGGTGGAAGTGTAATCACGTGAGAGTGGAAGTGGGATTCCGTCATTATTTTATTAGTAGGTTTATTGTTCAATTCTTAAATTAAGAATTAAAATAAACTGAGATTATACACATATATACCACCTCTGAGTTGTACACAGCTCTCATATATACACCGAGATGTGTGCCTCTCGGTGAATATTCGTTGAAAGCTACACTCCTGTAGGTGTATATATACCGTGTGTACAAAGAAAACTCAAGAAGCAAGGAGAGTACTCACGCGCCGTCTGTGGAGGCGAGGTTAGCCAGTGGTAACTCAGGGGAGGCGAAGTCCTCTATAGTGTCTGAGCCATTGTTGGGCAGGTCTACCCCACTGATGTAGGTGCTGGTGGAGGCAGCACTGGCATTGTTGGAGGTGGTGGTGTTGGTGTTGTTGGCGTGGTGGTTGGCTAGAGCCAGGGCAGCTGCACTGCCTGGATCAGACCGCCGCTGTTCCTTGTTGCTACCACCGCTCGAACTAACAGTACTGCTGCTACCCTTCTCGCCTGCAAAGGAAAATATTTATTTTATTACACAAACGTATATATATATACACTAAGTGGCTCTTAATATTTTTTTTTGCAAAGCAAAATCTATCCTAGGACGCGCCACACGCACAGACATCAAATGTAATTACAACCATCCAAGAAAACACTGTTTATCCATGATTTATCTGCAACATGGTTTCTTGGATTTTTCTGCCCTCTCTGTCGGCCTGGAACTAAGCTACACTGTTAAATGCTTATTCAACCAAACTGTTGCTTTTGGCAGCCCGCTGGCTCACTGTAATTACAGCCTGAGTGATCCAGCAATTAGTGGACTAGTGGTCACTTTTCCTACTGAAAACTTCTATACACGTTTCGACAACATTTCTGATATCTACTGTATTTAGGTTGAAGGGTCTTGAACCACCAATGTTGACACTTTCTTGTGTGTAATGGATCACACACAATAACATGATGTGCAATGACGGCAATTTTCAGTGACTCCGCTATGGAAAAGTTAAGGAAACAAACTGGAACGGAGAATAAAACAAACTCAAATCATTTAACAGAGAGAAAGAATATGAGGGACTTAGCAATGATAATTTCAGCTCTCACATTAAAAATCACAACAATGTTATTATCACAACCGTAAGGAAAATGATGGACTGGATTATGACCTTAAAACAAGAGATAACAAGCCACACTAGACACACTGGCACCAAGCAAAACGGCCGATATGGACATTAACAGAACCTTCACTGCCTCTATAAATTCTATCAAGCAAACTTTGGGGAACGCTTGAAATACCTCAAATTGTTGTTCTCTGGGTTGTATAATTTATACCTGGAAAATTCTGAAATGCTTGACTCAACATATGCACACCGAAAACGCTCACTACGAATGCAAGAGGATCAACATACGGTGCAAAATCCCAGAACGAAAAGCACACGTGCCGTGAGTACTCCAGAAGATAACTAACATCTTCATACATCACGCTAATTACCAGACCGATAACTGTCTTAAAGAGAAAAGTGTACCCCCCCTCCCCAAGTCATTTTCTGATCAGCTAGGCTGTGGCTCATCATCTGATCTCCGAGCGACTAACATTAACAGCCTGTTTGATCAGAACAATTTCCTGGTTCCTGATCTGAAGGACTGGTTTGGACCTGGCTGCGGAGGCGGTGACTCCCAAAAATCGTCTTTGGGTAACCTTCAGATTTCAGGTGCGGCACCCCTGCTCTTTACTAGGTCTATTTATAACTCCATAATGTCCACTCCGGTAATATAAGACGGGTGTGCAATACCAGAAATCTTGGACGAAATGTTTCGCCTGCGATGTAGGCTTCATCAGTCGAACACTCCTGGAGACATCAGCCTTGGTGGAACACAAAATAAACGAATTGGAAGAGTAGGGTCGTGTAGTATATCACCCTTAGTGTAAAATAGTGTCTTTTAGCCTCAAGCAGAAGCGCGTAGCCAGAGGCTTATGTACCGCAAAGTGAGGTATAGCAGCCTGGAGATGAGATCACAGGTGACCTGGGTCTACTAGCGGAAGTAGTTTATGCTAAACAGATGTTAGCAATAGAGTTGCTGAACATGTCATCAACAGAGATTCCTAGTGCTACACTTGTTTTGATCATTAACTTGTCAGTATTTACTGTATATCTTTTACAACCTTATGATCTGGTAAATTGTGATGATAGCGTGTAGATTTAGGACCTGGCCATCGCGTATTATGACTGTAATGAAGACAAATATCGATTAGTATGAAAGTAACCAGGAGACTTAAGTCACTCTGGAAACAATTGCGGTAATGCACACCCAGGTAGCCGTTTTTTTTTTTTAGCAAGAAGAGTACTTAATTTGTTTTAGGGCAAGCATTCATAGAGTAATGACATTAAACACCAGCTCAAATATGTAACAACATTACCTATTGCAAAGATCAGATTGTCATTGTCTGACTGCATTTTTGTAAAATACTACGAAAATTAATCATCAGGCATCAACCAGGAGTCCTGGTCTATGATCCGGACTCCTGACTTTTAATCTTCTCTGCACACACTACATTACATTTAATTTCTCAGAGTTGCTACACCAACCTCCCTCTAGGTAATTTAAATAATCCTGCCCACCATTCTCTCTGCTTTTCTATTTCCGCCTTTCTTGCTATAAACATATTTCAGTAATTCAACATTATTACAATACTGTACAAATTCATTATTTCCTAACATCCCAAGTTTCGCATTGTACTAATTCTCTATATTAAATACTCCTGTGTCCTGTTTTACAAGACAAAATTATTACACACACACACACCACACACACACACACACACACACACACACACACACACGTTGCTCTTCAATGGCAGCGTCACTAAATATACTACAAACTTTCAGCAACTTTTTCATGCAAATTGGTCAATTTTACCACTTAAATAATCCCCCTACCGATAGCATTATCACTGGCGGTAAAATATTTAAAATTGTCTTACTTTTAAATACATAGCAGTGTGTAGATACCTTTTACTCAACACTTAAATACTTCTAGCTATCCATCACACAGAACACAACCGTCTTGCTTCATCAACTTTTAATTGTGTCCACTTGCTAATGCTCTTTTAGGCCCCCTTATGCAAGTTCCTTTCACTAGCAGTAAAGGTTGGTATGTGTGTGCTAGCTGACTATTGTACGTCGCATCAAGGGAAAAGGAATGTTAGAAAATTCTAGTTTTTCTGGAATGTCATATCCTGTGGAGGAAAACTTGAGTACCTGCTGGAGGTATCCAAGTGTTGGGTAAGAGGTGTCCGTGTACCTAATGGTGTTATTATCCAGTCATTACAACTTTGTCTTCGTACATGTTGCTACCGGAAAACTAACAAAATTCCTTTTTCTAATCCCTTTCTTCAACATCTAGAAAAGTAGTTACAGTGCAGCCATCCATCTTCCAGACAAGAAAACCTTCTTGTGCTCACTTGCACTTACTCTCAAAGTGTTGTGCACTTTTTATTCTTACTGTATCGTTCCACAACTTCCTGTTTCCGCTAGCAATTTTCCTGACTCAGACCCTGGACCCTGGCCCCCCCTCCCCCTCCCTCCAACGACAGTTTACTTTACGTGTGTTATTTTCATGTTTATGTAAAAATTTTGTCCCAAACTTTTATTCGTGGAATTATAACCTCATAATTTCTCGTAATTAATATTTTTATAATTTTTAGTAATTAATATTTTTATAATTTTTCGTAATTAATATTTTATAATTTTTAGTAATTAATATTTTTCTAATAAAAACAGAAGCAAAAACGCAAAGACAGGAAATGACGTAACTCTGGCAATACTCCGCCACCTCCACGCTATGAACATGGCGTGGAGGTGGCGGAGGCATGGAAGATATTACAAGGTTATGTAGCGGAGACATGGAAGATATTACAAGGTTATGTAGCGGAGACATGGAAGATATTACAAGGTTATGTAGCGGAGACATGGAAGATATTACAAGGTTATGTAGCGGAGACATGGAAGATATTACAAGGTTATGTAGCGGAGACATGGAAGATATTACAAGGTTATGAGCGGAGACATGGAAGATTTACAAGGTTATGTAGCGGAGACATGGAAGATATTACAAGGTTATGTAGTGGAGACATGGAAGATATTATAAGGTTATGTAGCGGAGACATGGAAGACATTATAAGGTTATGTAGCGGAGACATGGAAGATATTACAAGGTTATGTAGCGGAGACATGGAAGACATTATAAGGTTTTTGTAGCGGAGACATGGAAGATATTACAAGGTTATGTAGCGGAGACATGGAAGATATTACAAGGTTATGTAGCGGAGACATGGAAGATATTACAAGGTTATGTAGCGGAGACATGGAAGATATTAAAAGGTTATGTAGCGGAGACATGGAAGATATTACAAGGTTATGTAGCGGAGACATGGAAGGGCATTATAAGGTTAAAGTAGCGGAGACATGGAAAGATATTACAAGGTTATGTAGCGGAGACATGGAAGACATTATAAGGTTATGTAGCGGAGACATGGAAGATATTACAAGGTTATGTAGCGGAGACATGGAAGACATTATAAGGTTATGTAGCGGAGACATGGAAGATATTACAAGGTTATGTAGCGGAGACATGGAAGACATTATAAGGTTATGTAGCAGAGACATGGAAGACATTATAAGGTTATGTAGCGGAGACATGGAAGATATTACAAGGTTATGTAGCGGAGACATGGAAGATATTACAAGGTTATGTAGTGGAGACATGGAAGACATTATAAGGTTATGTAGCGGAGACATGGAAGATATTACAAGGTTATGTAGCGGAGACATGGAAGACATTATAAGGTTATGTAGCGGAGACATGGAAGACATTATAAGGTTATGTAGCGGAGACATGGAAGACATTATAAGGTTATGTAGCGGAGACATGGAAGACATTATAAGGTTATGTAGCGGAGACATGGAAGACATTATAAGGTTATGTAGCGGAGACATGGAAGATATTATAAGGTTATGTAGTGGAGACATGGAAGACATCAGAAGGGTATTTAAAGGAGACCAACTCAATATATGGATTCAAAACGTAAATATAACGAAGAGCTTGAAAAAACAAGTGAGAGCCACACTATTTTAAGGAAATATAGAGGGGCCCAAGAGCTAGTGCTCAGTGCACACACATTTAGATGAATATAAATAAAGAATGATTACAGCATTCCAAACCTGTACAATATCAAGGTAAGTTTGGTCTCCTTAAGTCAAGTAAGTGATTCGTCTATGATTTTAGAAGTTAAGACTGCATTCATTTAGTAAGTGACCTAACAAAACATTATATAGTGTCATTTGTCACACAGGAAACCTGGTCCCAGGTCTCAAGCAGAGGATTAAACTCTGGAAACTGGTAGCTGGAATAAAGACAAAGCAGTGGACAAAGAGAAGGGTGTGGGCACGAGAGTAATGGCTAGTGCGTGCTGGAGGCATCGTTATCATCTCCTGAGCCAATAAATTAGT